TAGAGGTTAGTAAAAATTATGAAAAAAAATAATTTGTAAAAGTAGACATTATGACAAATCCAACAACACATTATATGATTATATTTATATATTATATATTGGTACAAAAAATTAAGTCAATGATAATCTATAAATAGTAGAATTTCCCAACTGTAGGTTATAAAAAAAAAAAAGGGAGAGGGTATTATTTAATAAAAGGAAAAAGTGAGAAGATGGGACAAGTGACCTTCCGAGGGAAGGATAGAAAAAAAGAGTGGAGTAACTTTTGCATAATTCCCAGTGGTAAATACAGTAAATTTACCCCACCCCAATTCACTAAATCATTATTTTTATCAACTTTTTTTCTTTTTTTTGATGATATGATTTCTGGATATTTTGTACTGTTTGATTTGATTTGGACCTTTCTGGGTCCCACCTCTTTGCTGTATAGTGCATATCCCTCACTCCCTTTTTCCATCTTCTCTATTTTTACCCACTACACTTGAAATCTCTTTGTATTGCGTTTATTTTTTCCTTCGAATTTTAACCTATTTTTACTACAGTAATACAAGTAGTAGTAGTACTCCGTATTACACTATTATGGAGTATTAGGCTTTAATTTGTTTGATTCAATTTATTACGCTCGAAATTCATCTTGTTTAAGTTTAATTATTTTATCTTAATTTAGTTTGTTTGAATATGTTAAGTCATGATTTAAGCAAACTAAACTCTTGACATAATTTGGCATGATTTTAATTTTGTTATGGTCACTAGTTTAGTCTTGTGCGATGCACGATTTGAATAAATAAATTTTTCATTTTTTCATATCAAAATTTTAAAAAAAAAATATCTCAAAATAATTAATATATCAATATTTAATATTTTGAACTCATAGAAAAATTAAATAATGAAATGGATACCTGAAGAAAAAAAAGTTTAATTATTATTGTTAGAGAAAATTAAATTGTTTTTCGGAAATCTAATATCATATATCACTAATAAATAAAGTCGGTCTCGCAGTCTGGCCACGAGACAGCGACACTTGTCATTCCAGTTTTTCACCAAGTGTCGCGCCACGTAGGCGACAGACATGCATTATTGTGACACATATGTTTCTAAAATAGATGGATAGATTTTTCTAAGATAAAAAATGTTGTATAAAGTTTATTATCACTATACTTCTAATATTTCATATATACAAAATTTATCGTAGCTTTTAATAAATATCCTATAACTCGATTTTATTTCTATTATAAAATTCGTTTCAAAAAGTTCTTAAAAATGAGATCCATTTATAAAATATTTAATTTAGTTAAAAAAAATAATAGAGAATCAGTAAAAATAATTTTGATTTGGTAAAAATACTTTCATTTCGGTAAAAACAATTTAAGTTCAATAACAATAATTTCAAGTCAATAATAACATATTTAT